CACCGTGTTCACTCGAGCTTGGGCCGAGAATAATAGCTAAAAAGCAGGCTAAGGGTCTCAATTTTTACGGCGGCTCTTACCGTCTCCTGGTGCGAAGGGGTTAAAGTAAAACATATAGACAGAGTCTGAATTTGAGAATGACACATCAGGCAACTGTGAGAAAGAAAAACATCAATTTTTCAAAAGTGGATCTTGAGAGGACTTAGAAAAGGAATCCAGCAGCTGCAGTAGACGAACAGCCTGAGGTCTACTGATGCAGCGCAGGTGAATAGAGGTTGTACAAGCAGGTTTGTTGTTCCAGTCAGCAGTGAATGAAAGTGGTTGAGTACACTGTTGTCACATGATAGGGCCAAGGCTTGGGTTTATCCAGGGCACCAAATCTACCTGTGCATTTGGGTTCTCATTTCAGGTGCGTTTCATCCTGTTGCATTTAGCGGGGTCCCTAGCGGGGGACCTGGTGAGGGTTTAAGCTGATGAATTAATACAACTTGGATTATAGCATTGCACGTTGGCGGTAATTACCATGATTTGTCAGGAAAATAGGAAGAAGTGGCCCCCTCAAACCATGAATTTGAGCCCAAACCAACTTGCTGAGGGATACACATCACCACTCGTCGTGATACTGGGAAGAATTCTTATCGGGAATCATTTATGTTGCAGACCCAGACGCTGACTGTGTACAAGAATGATCATGAAACATATGACTACACCAACGCCAGCCTGGCACCTTCAAGTAAGTGTTTGGGCTCAGTTTGTTTATTGCCAGTTTATTAAGGGGGACTGTGGGAACATGTTGGATGGAAGAATTTCTAGGTAATGTTTGCTGTGACAGACATACAGTAGAACAATCTACAAGGGGTGAAAGCTCCCAAATATCAGTTTTACTTTGATTTTGTTTTATCAAAGGTACACAAGTCCGCAAAAAAAGTCTATTTGTTAAATTTCATTTGGATTATATTTGTTGTGGACATTTTAATAACCCACTTTTCTTTCAATCCACAAGATACGCATTTTCCTGCTTTGTGTTATCTCTCTCTGCTTTCTCTGCTGTCAACTGGCATTGACATGAATCCTATTTCCACCTCTGTTGGTGCTGCACAAAATATTCCGCACATGTTACACACTCTTTTCAAAAGTGTTCGGAATAAAATCTCTTGCATTGAATTGGTATTATTGACCAATTAATTTTTGTCTGGTATTCAAAACCCCCAGACCACATTAAAATATCAACCACATGTATGTGAACATTTATGAAACTTCATTATGTTATTGTATACTTTTTCAAATTGCTGGAAAGCTTTCCAGCTAGTCTACAGACATTTTCGCTAATAAAACAAAACACTTTTGTTGAACTTTCACATGTAACTCTCTGTCAGGTGTGTCATTAGGATGTACCTGTATGACTTTGTTCATTTGCTTAGGTCATCCATGAATGTGAACAATTCTTCTAAATCACCCTCTCATGAGAAATATAAAAAGTTATAAATACCCTTACATTAACTTTGTAAAATATTTCTAATTGGCATGAAGAACTATTGTACAGTTATCCGTGTGCATAGCATAAAGCAGCTGTTTATCATGATCTACATCTTGACAAATATTAGTAATAATATTAATATACATATGTACATGGTTTCAGTTACATTTGTATAAATCCACCTTCAGAATTGTACAGGTACATGTAATACTATATAGTTAACATCTTCCTACACTTTTGTACGTGTTTCCATTTGAGCACGATCCTCCATAAATGTACATGTATGTATTAAACGATGCATGTATATAATGACAATTCCGATGTGTGCTATCACGCACTTTCAAAGAACACCCAAACAAAACATTCAAAGAAGATTGGAGTGTCTGTAATCGGCAGTGTCATTTAAAGTTGGCAATTGTCTGTTGCTCATGCACGGATACATGTAAACAGTACATGTACATGTATGTACAGGTATTGTACACAGTTACCTGGATGATTGGGATACACTGTGAACATGGTGAACAACGACCACACACTGTGCACTCAGACTTGTCATGATTATACAGTCAACTTTGTACTTGACCAGCGGAACACATTATTATGTGGCACGCAATGTTGCAAAGTACCTGTAAGAGTTTTACAGATGGTTTTGTAAGATCTCCCACCTCGGCCAGTTTTGCATTCCAGGATTCCAAATTCCAAAATCCACCACATACAGGTGTAAACCATGTAAACCAGAAACATGTGTCTGTTGATTATTTCAGCCATCAGTACCCTCATTCATCTGTCACTATCAACACAAATAGATGTATCATAGTTCCCCTGAAAAGCAAACAATGAAAAGCTCAACTTGCTGTAACACACGGCAGCATCTGAACCATTAACTTGACAATCGGACACCTGCTTTGATACATGTAAACTGCACTACACTGTAATAACTGTACGTCTTAATACCCGACTGTAAAATTCCGTCATTGCCAGTTACTATACGTGTCAGACGTGCTGGTACACACATGTACGCTTGAGCTTATTTTATAACATGGATTTAAAACTGCTCAGGCTGGCATCTGCCATGTGATCAGTTACATTGTGGAGAAGAGTACAGGATAATACATTGAAGCTTAGTCATACATGTACTTAGGCCTGTACATTGTTACATGATTCAGCAACATCCATGTAATGTTTCACTGTTACAGTAGCTGTTTGAATTCATATGGAGATTGTTTTTGTGGCAACGGGAAAGAAACTCTGTGTGATTTTTTTTATAAGCCACTTCAAAAGCATTTCCCTGGAAGAAGTGCAATTAATCATGTCCAAAGTAGCAAACAACACAAATCGTCACTTATCAGGCTTTCCCACATCTTCAAGTTAAAATGCAAAAATAAATATGCTGATGATTACCTGGGAGTACATGCGCTTTGAAGTGGTTTCAAATTTAGTGCATAATTTTCAGTTTTACAACAAATGATTAACTTCTTAATCACGATACAGAGCTCCAGGGCAAAAAGTTCCAGAAAGTAATCTTAATTTTCACTGATTGTGATGAATATCCTACATCTACATCTACAAGTTCCATGTACATGTATGTATTTCCTGTGTTTCCATCAATGTCTTGGGCTTTAGTGTACTTTCAAATATTTTAAACATGTGATTGTTAATCATAAGACACGGAAACGACAGCTTACATGAAGAGCCAGAGAGGAAGGCCGAACATCTTTTCACAGATTGAAGGCATCACTCACAGACGATGTTACATTGAAGAATCAACTAAGGATCTCCTCTGTGTCATGGAGAAATACACATTCTACAGGAGGATGTGAGCAAGCAGTTGATACAACTAATCTGTTTCAAACAGCTCATAAAATCTCTCGTGAAATATCGCCCATTCAAAACAGCCAATATGTGCCAAATATCTTCATCACCATTTGAGAGACAAGAATGACTCACTCAGAAAAAGACATCACCATCATCATCGGGAACAAGCCAGCAAAAGAGTTCAAATTCCCCGTCCAAAATAAAAAAAAAAATTCAACTACCGACACCAGACGGAAAGGACAGCACAGAAACAGAAGCACGTAGATCGTGCCAACCCTCAATCATGCCTCACTGTATGACACCAGCTACACTGCAACACCACTTTGCCTTGCTCCAGCTGCCGCAACCCATTTAACTGCTGAATAAACCCCCCCTGATTGTCCAAAGATTGTGCAGGGAGATGTGAGTATAGCCATCTTTTGAACAGCAGTCCATCAAGCCACCTCGCTGTTGCCCCAAGGAGAATCCATGGAGTTCTTCCTACATCACCGGTACCACCCACCGCTGTACCGCCCATTAGTGCAGATAACATCTGCATCCTGTGTCTATAATCTTTTGGAGCAATCAAGTAGCTGTTGCAGTCAGCCCTAGTTGCTGCAAATGATGAAAACTGGTAACGGAGGTAAAAAAACATTGTAGATTGAATGCTGGCAAGAACCTTCTCGTCTTGTCGTGTGAAACCTTTTGAACTTGTAAATGTATGACTGCGCCAGTTAAGTTAATATACTTTTTATGGTTTTGGCATCTTATGAGTAAAGGGCTTGGTTAGATGCATTTTGGAAAATCAAAGAATCAATTTTATTCTTATTTCTGCCTCTCGGATCGTTGTACTGAATGAGAGTTATTTTTGGCCCTCAAATCTACACAAACATTTATTGTGATTTTTTCGTCATGTAAAGAACTTGGTTTGTATACGCATTAAGACGTTTGAAAGGACATTTTTGTTGTAGTTATATTTTGGATGGGGAATTACCGTATGTGTCCATGCCACAGTGAATTATACCAGTCAGATTGAAATACATGTAAGTCACACAACAGAGAATATGGTCACATGTGTCTGACGACAACAGCTTGATGTCGGTAATTTCCCACCCGTCTTACCAATCTCATTGTGTTGTGTGTGTGGTGTGTTTAATGAATGGCTTGTTTTAGACACTACAAATGGAAAACCTCCTGGCTAGGATCTCTCTGTCTCACCCAGGTCGTGGCAATGCATTACTGGATGATCCACCGCCGTCCACCTACAATGGACCCACCAAGGCCAACTCAAGGCGTGGAGGCGGTGGCGGCGGCGGAAACCCTCGATTCGGTAGGCCGACTTAAAGCTTCATCAGAAATTATAGCAAATGTGGTATTCTTCGCTAACACGTCAAGTGCCATTCCAAGCTTTCTGGGTCTTGTCATAGATTCCAGATTGTTGCAGGCAGCCCGTGTCTGTTAAATCTTCGCACCATCATCTGGTCTCTGGGCACCCTACAAATTACAAGAGAATGCATTACACTTGGTAGATTGAGGACCATGTTAAATGTCACAGTATGCAACAGTGGATTGGTGCTTGTTGCATGAAATCAACACTGGAGCAGTTGCCATTATAGAACTATGAAGTGGCATTGGCACTGTGTGTATTTCGTTCTGCAGTGTTCTTTGCCATTTGTGTTGACTGTTTGCAGTAGTGTTCAAGCTATTTGTTACTGTTGCATGGTGTGGTACATGTATTTAGAGGAGCTGAGCTGAAAGATCCTGTGTAGTTATACTAAGACAAGTTTTACATGTAATTAATCTCATCATGTCAGGGACCAAACATTTTTACTGATGTAGGGCTCTCAGGCCTATCTTTACACTATCACTGATCAGTAGCCTTGTCGTCATGAAATAAAAAAAACAGGTGTTCTTAGCTTTCCCAATAGAACGTCCTGGGTGGAAATGCTGCTAATTAGATAATACAACCTGATGCTGCTGAGATACTCTTTGAGAGGGGTAAATGTCCCACAGGTAGTTTGCTGATGCACAAAGAATGTATAGCACACGATGTACATGTAGCAGGGCATTTCTGCATGTGCTTGGTTTTGGTGGATTGGAAAGCTTCCGAGCTATCTGGCCTAATCAGTTCTTTTTTTCTGATATTTCTGCAGACAGCCGTGGTGGGCCAATGGGGGGTGGTGGCAGTGGCCCCATGCGGGGCCCACCCCCACCCCAACACTACCAGGAACCCCACCAGGGCTATGGCCCTCCCCATGGGGGCGGTGGTGGGAGCGGCGGAGGAGGTCGGGGCGGGTACCAGGACCATGGCGATTACCCGCAGCAGTACAGCCACATGCAGGACCAGCAGGGCCTGCAGCCCTTGCCGCCCAATGCCCCCTCGCACAGTGGCATCGTTATGGTCTACAACATTGATCTGGAGAAGATGAACTGTGAGAAGCTCTTCAACATCCTCTGCCCCTTTGGGAATGTCTACAAGGTAAGAATTGTTCAGACTGCATTGTTCACCAAGTCCTGGGTAATGGCTTCACACATGCAAAGTCAAGTAACATCCCGAGGCCCTCTCTTACTATCTCAAATCTCTGAGCAGGACCTTGGCTGAAATCCCAGATTTTGGCGGCCCATTCCAGTCTGGCAATAATCCAACTAGACTTCTCAAAGGTCCAGCACAAGTAAAGTTCAGACAGTAGACAGCAGAAGGCTCTCATTTACTAACCAGAAGATATGCTGTTGGCTTGTGGGATTGTATAGCATTACAGGATGAGATTTGTCAGGATATTTCCTGATTTTGGGATTTTTTTTATCAGGATTTTCAATCTCATTTAAAGTGCGAAATATCCTGAGTTTACCAATAAGGTGTTTTTACATGTATACAAATGTTTATACAGAAGATAAGAGGAGTGTTTTAGCCCTTGCTCTATCAGATCAATTTACTGCAAGTCAGTAGTACCTGCTAATGCACTGCAGCTGGCGTGCACTGGAGGATTCTTTGCATTACCAATGGAGTGATTTCACTGCACAGCCCAAAAGAAGTACACTCCAGTGTACTCAAGAGGATTGTGGCATGTGGCTTTGATTATCACTGTAATACACCAGCTGGACCAAGCTGACCTCCAGTTTTCTTTGCAGTTCCTTAAAGCGTACACAGTTTCTCCATCGAAGTGGTGTGGCCGTTAGTGGAGGGGAGGGCCTGTAATAAACATAGCCACTTTTTTTAACAGGAATATTGGAGTGCATTGTAGTGTAAACAAGAGCAACGTTTACCATTAAGGTGTTTTTACATGTATACAAAAGTTTATACCGAAGACAAGAGGAGTGTTTTAGGAGATGCCTCTTGGCAGACACAAATGTACGCCACAGACCTCACACTGCTGTGGGACCCTTCAAAACCTCTGCTTATTATTTTACGGATATTTCTGTTTTCTTCAATCTCATCCCCGATATCAAAAGCGGCAGGCAAAAGGGCTTTGTGCTTCTAACTTGGACCAGTTTTGCAGCAAGAAGTTTGAAATTGCACACAAGTGTAAATCCATAGGAAGCCTAGTTCCATTATACCCGTTTACCGAGGGCCAAGCTGTAATGCATGGACTCTAGTTTTAAGGATCAGGGATTCCAGTCATGATGCTGTGTAACTTGAGCCTTTGTCCCTCTTGATTTTAGGTGAAGTTCATGAAGTCGAAGCCAGGGACCGTGCTGGTTGATCTGGGCGATGCGTTCGCTGTCAGTAGAGCAATCACCAACCTCAGCAACATTGAATTCTTCGGGATGACCATACAGCTGGGGTAAGAAGCTGTAGACCTCACTGCATTAGCAGTTTCCAGCACTGCAAGAAACTGGGAGGGCTCTTGTATTCTTTGATCCCAGCACCCAAACAAGTGAAATATAAAAATAGTAGTTGATAGCTGCACTAAAAGCCTTCTTCATCAACAGTGTGCAGTTTCTTTTGTAAGTGATAATTGAATAGTAATAAACCAATTTTAATTGTAAGCTGGTCAGATGTGTAAGGACTTTTGTGCTGTTTTATCCTGTAGTGTTGGCCTAGTTGGGCTGAAATGGATGAATGAATTAAATGACAGATGCATTGCTAGTGTGCTAGTTCTCCCTTCATACTCTAGACGGAGGGAAATTTGCACTTGCTCGGTGCACAGTGATTGTGCCAGCACAGATGACAGAAGGCAGAGTTAGGGAAAAAGGCCATTTCAAAGCCCTGTCATACACGACATACTGTAGTTATGATGATATTTATGCATTTTAAGATGTCTTTGTTGGCACACCTGTGATCTTATGATGGGCACCTGACTATCACGAATTTCCACAAAGTTCTCATGAAAGTCCCCACCATCAAGCATTCATTGGGGTTTACAAACCAGACATTTTTGTGGACCTAAGCAATACTCATGGGATGATTACTTCACCAGGTATTCCAACCAGACTTTCCTGAACCCTCCACCGGGCACCTGGAACCTGCCGGACGGTTCGCCATCCTACATGGACTTCTCCAAGAACCGCAACAACAGGTTCATGAACAAGGAAGCGGCCGCAAAGAATCATATCCTTTGTTCTAGACGTGTCTCCTCAACTCCTCGCCCTATGCATTTCCAGAGTTTCCTCAGTTGTTCAACTTCACCTCATCACCATGTTCCAGGGAATAGTTGCAGTTTTCAAGATTTACCCTCTATTCAATCCCAATTTACCACTCCTTTCAATGAACAAGCAACTGAAGAGCTTGAAAAGTATTTGTCTATTCAATCCCGTTGCTTTATTCACACGAACAGCGTACGTCACGAAATAGTTTGTCTGTTTGGTTTGTGGACGACTTGTAGATTTTCACTTGACACTGAGGTTACATAAACACTCACTTTTGAGAGGAAATTTAGTCTCCCGAATTTATTTTCACGTGGTGTTGCTGTCATGTTCCATGAGCCTTGTTTATCATTGTTAAAATGCGGGTTGTTTGTTCATACCACTTTATGATGAAAAGACTGCATCAGACTTGCAGAACTTCTCAGATGGACAGGAGAGTGCAGCCTTGAACTGAGTGCTTTCCTGTCATCTACCGGTATTGAAATGAAACAGTGCCAAATATATCTTCAAAAACCATATTTTGAGCATGAAAGTGTTGTTGTTTTTGGTAGTAGTTGTGCATGTAATCACATTAAACTTTGCCTTATAATTGTTCTTCTCCTTAATGCAAGTACGTCTCCAGCGCCCATCTCACGTCTTGCATTTCTACAATGCACACCCCGAGAGCACCGCAGAAACCATCAAGCAGGTAGGCATAATTAACTTTATCCACACCGATGATATTGTTACAGATCATGGTGGTGACCAGTACTCCGATTACGTGAAATATCGAATGATGATCACATATTTCTGAGTTTTTTCAGTATTCCATCAGTAGCTGCCACAACAAATGAAATCCGTCCAGAAATGTGTAGCCTGAGGGTGGGTGTTTGATGCTTTCTTTCCTGTAGATCTTCATCAATGCTGGAGCTGCCGAGCCCATAGCCATCAAGATGTTTGAATCAAAATGTAAGTTCACTGCCTGATTTCTTCCACTCTTGTATTAAAGTTATTGTTTTAAGTAATTTAGGCCCCCCCCCTCCCCCCAACACACACCCTGCTTCTTATCTGATGATACACCTGAAAAAAGTGAAACACATTTTGTCATGTGTGCAGCTACTGACAAGGAAGAGTGACTCTCGGTGACCATTCCAACTTCCATCCTGTATGCATAGAGCATAGTACATTTCATTTTCAACAGAACCAGGTTTGCACAAGCTTAGTGAAGCCCACGTCCGGACGCATGAACCTGTATGGGCACTCCCTGTGACTCCACCGAAAGGGCATTGTGGCTGTGTAAAAATAGGGTGTCTTCCTGCACAAAGCTCATCAGTGGTGCAATACCTCGAAACCTTCTCATAGGCAAATTTGTATGTACACAGAAGCAAGGACTAGATGAACTCAGTGCAGTCGTTTGATAAGCTTTGACTTTAGATTGGACCCTGGTGACTCCACACTTGACCCCAATGCTGTTACATCAACCACATACTAAAGGGAGCTATGCAGGTGGCGATACTTGATTTTATATTGTTCCATCGAGGCATTAAAATGGTCTGCTGTAGAGTTTTGTAGGATCCGGCAGGCTTGGCACTTGAATTCGGCTTGTTGCCAGAGGGTTTGGGTTGACAGTCAGACTGTCTCACAGTTCTCCAGTGGTCATCTGTTTTAGACTGGTGTTTCAGACTCAGTCCATGGGTGAACAAGAGGCTCTTTGCAAACTTTCGTCTGAATGTGCACAAAATCCTCAGGTTTTTCACATGAGCACCAGGTGCACAGTGGTGATGGCATTCTCCTGTAGGCTAACTCCCTCTTTGTCACTGCTGATTGAGTTAATGTGAGGAGAACCTATATTGTGGAACACCTATTTAACAAGGTTGTGGGAACTTAGCAAGTTACGTTGATGTAATTAAGGACATGACATCATCCGCAATGTATTTGTAAACAAAGAACATCAGATAATCGGGATCTTAAGTTGTCCTTGTTTTAAGCAGGATTTTGTATTACCGGTGCTCGTCTTATCAATTGTTGACGGTGTACTGTATACTCAGAGGACAGGGGGCTGCATCCCTAGCCCTGCATTCTCTGCCTGAGAGTTACTTCTGAATTAACCATTCTTTAGTTTTACAACACAAATGTGCACAAATGCCCACAGTCACTGGTGAGCAT